CACGCCGGTGCCGTCCACCGACGATGCAGGACGGCAGACATCACAGACATCACGGCGACCCCCGTCATGCGTAGGGTTGGTCAAAATGGAGCGCCCATTGTTAGAAGACCCGAACCTCCGGGGGTGCTTGGTTGCTTGTCATGTTCATGCAGGAAATACCATCAAACCGCGTCTCCATCTATGGCGCAAACATTTGTGTACTGTAACTGAAATGGAGTATTCCCTTCTCTTGTTCATTTGAACATTCATGTGTCAGTTTTGGAGTGGTGCGGTCCTGGAAAACTTAGCTCCCGGCACAAGGCATTGCAAAAGAATCCATTTCGCCATGGGCAAATGCAAGGCCTTTTCACGTACAATCTATTTAAATGGCTTTTGTTCACAAAAAGTCGGGCGCAGCCCATGGAACTCCGATGCCTTCTCTACCACTTCGTTCGTCCGATTCCAAGAACTGCACATATGCGCGTGAAACAGAGTAAAGACAAAAATCGTGTATGATCTTGTATATAATATAATATATATAATCTATATTATATATATATATATTTATATTATATGACATTCTGACAACTGTTATATATTTATATTATATGACATTCTGACAACTGTAATACTGGCTGATTCACGATGTAGACTTGACACCTTCACTTTTTGTGTCATTTCAGTGGTGAGCATTTTTTGCGCCAATAGTCCAGGTAGGAAGTCTGTCCCACCAAACCCAAACCGGACACATTTATTTAAAATCCCTTTTCAAAACCATATCAAAAAAGCAGTTTTTGGAGCTTGGAACGGGGGAGGGCACGGGGCTGTCAGAGTTGCACTGGACTTCACTGACTTGACATGTGGACCTCGACTGTACCTGCTCTTTTCCGGCTTCCAGGCTAGCGACAACACAAGCAAAGCAGAGGCCAGGGGCGGGGAGACAGGAGAGACATGTTTCTGGCTGATTCACGATGAGTCTTTCTCATGCTGCGTGTGGTAAGAATGTCCGTCGGCTGCAGAGCGTGTGTCAGCGGCGTGTTTGTCCCAGTCCTTGTCAGTTGAATCTCTATTTCCAGTAGAGATCGTCAAGGTCTTATCCTGAATCGATCCACCAAACTCCCTTCGTACGTACTCAGAGTATTTCTGGGTCTGGACCAATTCTTGTCAGCAAAAGGCCATTGGATATCAGCTTGCCGAAGCTTTAGATTCGTGTCCTCGATCAATATGAACTGATCACCGTTGCCCAACGTTGCCCAACATTGCCGTCCACTCTCAGGTGTCGTGGGGGGTCCCACCGAGAGGGCTCTTGGACGCCATCTGTGCTAATGGAAGACCACGGAGAGCCTGGCCAGCTTGAGCATGTGGTCCAACCATGCTCCAACTATGTCGTTCCACAAACCGAAGCATGACAAGCAAGTGGAGGCCACCATGTCCACCATGTGCTTGCGCTGATTCTTAACTCGAAGGAGCTCAACACGCCGTGACAAAAGGACTAACGAGTCTCCCATGCTGCGCACCCACTCCAATTTGCTGCCCGCAGCCCACTCGCCAGCGACCTGTCGGATTTGGGATCACTTTCAACCGACAGGGTCCATCTTCCAGGTGCACCAGGAGTTCCAACACCAGTGACTCAAAAACACAACAGGCCCGAAAACATGCTGGAGCCCATTCCCTGTGATTTTGGACCTTCGGACGCCCTCTGGGCACCCTCCTGTGCGCCCGATCTCGCGAGGGGTCGCGGCCTTGATCGACTCCTCCCGCACGATCTCGCCGTCCGCACTGGCTGGACCGATCCGGAGGGTCCTCAGGGTGTGGCACCGCATGCACCAAGCCCTGCGCTCAGGGCGGCCATCAAAAGGTTGGAGGCTGCGAAGGTTGGGTCAGAGATGGCTGTGTATTTTGATGAATAGGGAGACACCTCAAAGAGTCGAACCTGGTCTATGTTCAACCTGAAAAGAGTCGAAACTGGGAGGTGTATCAAAACAGGAAGAAATCCCCTGGAAGAAGGGGTCCGGTGTCTCCCCATGAGAATACAAATCCATATTGATCTATGGTCATGATCAAACTACGAGTACTACCCCTTCAGATCCCTTCAGGCCCACAAACCCGACCAGAACCACACGCCGTGCTGGAATGGACATGAAAAGGCTACAGTGTCCACTTGAAAAGGGCTTTCGAGGCAGCCTGCAGGGAGATGCTGCTTGACTTGCGGAACCTTCACCAGGGACCGCACGCAAAGTGATCCGAGGTCAGGCTCGACGCCTTGCCGTCGGAGGGCGGACGAAAGGTTCGAAACCACCAAAAGTGACGGTCAAGGGACCCCATCCTTCGCTGTTAGTTCAGTAAACAAAGCCACTTGGTTGACTGACTTAGACCGATCTACACATGGCTCACCAAACTGTGGATCGAGTGCCTTCAAGGATGAGGACAGGCCCAAGATGGCCCAAGTTCCGTGATGACACGCTCGGGAAAAGGGCCTCGGCAGGGCCCAGAAGGAAAAGGCACGTCTCATCATCCTGGCAAGTTCATGTGAGGCAACACCATGGCAAACAACTTCACTCCAAACGAGTTCCCGGGTATACAACCCCTGCTATGATCTTCTCCAGTCCACCTGTGGCCTCGAAAACGCTAAAATCCTTGCAGGCCACGTCCTCATAGGGCACCAGCAAACCGCCAGCCACTGACGGCTCGTCGATGACCTCAGAAATCACCAGTCAGTTCATATTCCCCAAACCAAGCTGGACACTTGGGGGGGACCCTTTTTTGGTCCTCCTTTGAAAAAAGGAGAACGAAAAATTAAGAAAGATCTTTGACAATCCCAATGGCTTAGAAGCTACATGAAGCTACTATAGTAACAAGGGCATCACCACTAGTAGCTAGATGAGGTCTCCTCGGGTTCCCATGACATTCCCATGAATTGAATGACGTCCTCTGCCTCCACAAGAAGGGGAGAGCACGTCCACAACGACCTCCACACGACCCCTGACACCCGGACGATCCGGTCCTCCTGGGACACCACGGACCTGACCGTGAGGCGCGGCGGCGGAACGGGTCGCCGCGGCGGCGGAGACGGGTCGCCGTCGTTCACGGTGGCCTGGCCTGGTGGTGTGGTGAGCTGAGCTGAGGCTCTTGGGTGAGGGGGCCTTGGCTGACGGGAACAAGTCAAGAGAAACAGCCACGTGAGGGTAACCAGGTTTCAACTGAACCATCAATGCATACTGTATGTTATATCATATGTTATATCATGGCATATGATACTATATATCATGTATAGTATAGTATAAAGCTTTCACTGGGGGTCACTCACACTCCACCCTCCACCCTCCAGGACCGGAGATCGGCCCAGAATCAAGGGACCCAAATGGTCGTCTCCAGGCCCTCCTTGGGCACCTCTTCAACCTGGGTCAAAGGAAACGGCGCATACGTCTCCGCCCTTGCTACGCACATAGCGATGCCCAGGTTCCTAGTAGCGATGCCAGGAGCTACTAGTAGCTTCTTGTTCCTGTATATATATATATATATATATAATGAAAGAGAGAGAGAGAGAGAGATAGATCCAAAGCCACCATTTTGTCTGGCAAGAAAAAAAGCAATGTCTTGTACCTGAGCTTGTGGACCGTTTGGAGCCCTTTAAAGAGATATGATTCAATTCGTCTATATGGAGTAAAGAAATGTCAAGAATCGGGTCAAATCTGCCCGCGCTGTGGATTCCTTGCAAGCCCGACCCAGCCGAGCGGCCGGTACCACAGCTGGGGGCCACACCACCCCTTTCTCCGCGAGCTCTGGCTGAGGCCAAACAAGCGCCTCAACCCAGTGGTGCAGGGAGTGGTACGTCCGACCACGCCGAAGACATGGAAGTGATGGCAGGGGGTACTGTCTGCCGCATTGCGTAGATGGCCCTGTGGCTGTCTGCTGTTCACAAGGGCAAGGAATAGACGGAGTAAGTAGCTAGTCCCATGTGTGCAAACGTGATTAGATTTCATGTTAAACTCTGCACCTGTCTGGTCCCACTTTAGGCTTAGGCTTAGGCATGAATGAGTCAAGTGCCAACCTTTGTTATTGTTTCCAAGTAGCGCCTCCCTCAGCAGTGCCATGACACATTCCAGAAAGCACCCGTTTCCCAGTTGGCGCCTTCAACGGCCAGGCTTGACAAAGAGGGGTCGGCCTGGCGCAGAAATTCCATGAAATTCCCTTCGTGGCACCAAGGGAACCGCACTGAATGGAATGAATGGAGAGAAAGTCGATCACCCCTTCAGATCATCTATGTTTAGTGAGTCTAGTGCCTGTAACCTGAGCCAGTAACTTGAAAGAGGGCTTCGGATCTTGATTGTCGTTTGAAGATGGAAGACATCCAGATCATCACAGCAACGACTGGTAGTTTTCACACAGCCACAAGTTGTTGCAGGATCTCTCTTGGTTCCCACGCTCCGCGGGTGTAGCCGCTGTGCGGGTCATTTAGCAAAAGCGACATGTGGCATATCTCATCCCACAAGCAAAACGGCCCCTTGAGCAGGGGTTCGAGGCCCTCGATAGAAACAGTTGGCAGCCTTTGTTGTCTTGCGGCCACTTTTCCTTGCCGATATTCATGCAAAGCGCGTTGCTGGGCTCAATCGCTTCACTCTATGCCAGTGCTTCTCTTCCGTTGCTTCTCTTCCTGTCCGAGCCTTGACAGAGGCGTTCCGCACAGTCAGCCCTTCCCGCACAGTCCATCTCCTCCCCTCTGCAAAGTGAGGAAAACAAGAGACCCAAAAATGGTTATCCCATGAGGAGTACAACATGTTCATTGAATTGGTGTCCCCCTGCTTCTCACACTGCTTCTCGCATCATTTTGACGCTTTCCGCCGCAGCTCTATATCTGGACAGCAGCCCCACCTGGCAAGCTGTGCTTCCACATTTTGACAAAGCCTAACAAGTGAAGAGAAGACAAACGATAATCCTCTTTTTTGCATTTCAAACATGACATGAGTAGTTCAGGTTCATCTGTTGGCTGTGGCCTTCCGCCCATCTCCTGAAGAACCCTTTTGACTTTACGCGAAAAGTCACTGTGCGAGACCATCTTGAGGTGCTTTTAGCGCCTTCAAGCGCTCAAGTCCTTTCCTTCGCTTTCACTTTGGCATTCCGCGCAGCACACACTCCGCGCTCGGCACGCGCAGGCGCATGTGCGCTGCGGAGACTTGACTGCAGCTCGCTCAAGTGCAATCAGCAGGGCTCAGGGCTGTGACAGAGCGGTGTTCGCCATCACGTGGAAGAGGAAGCGATGCCTCAGGTTTGAATCACGGGGGGGTCACTCAGGACTGCTTTGGCAAAGGTCATGATAAGCTTCAGTTGTGTGGATCCTGGTGTGGATCTCCCAGAAAGAAATTGAAGAGAAAGCACAAAACTTATATAAAACAAAACAGGGCCATTGCAAGAGCAAGCAACAAGCTACATGCTCAAGACTCAAGCGTTGGGGGGAATGCCATTGATGGATGAATTATAGCTGATCCTAAGGACCTTCAAGCTTTGCCGTTATGCTATTCCTCTGATCTGAGTCTGAAGCCTCTTACCTACAAGTACAGTAGACCTCTACCTCAAGTGAGTGTCTTGGCTAAGCTGCTGTTTGCGGCCTTGGCAACTGCCAGCAATGTAGTTTTCGACTGCACAAAAGCGGCAACATCTTCGCTCTTCATGTAGCAAGAATGGCTGGGCAGAGCCTGCATCCTCAGCTCTGCAGATCCAAAAGAAGCGGACGAGTCAGAAGGGTTGAAAAGGCCACCCCCTCCACCTTGCTTTTTGGCAAGGGGCTCTTGGACCTTTTCAGACCATTCAACATATATATATATAAATGCCAACAAAAAATAGAAACGTGAGAATATGAGCCTTTGGGGTCAATCTCCCACACACCCAACAGAAGGGAGAGGAAAAACAAGAAGAACTCACAGCCAATACGTTGCCAGACCTCTCGCACCGAGCCTCAACTCTCCCGCCACTCCCGCCACCTGCCATGGGGTCATATCTTCTTGCAGCGCCCAGTCGATCCGATCTCCACCATTGAGCGCGATGCTTTCACAGAGTTTCCGGAGCTCATCTTGCTTCTTCTCCTGGAGCGAAACGAAAGGACGCTGCTCCGGGCGGCGAGAGGAAGCGGAGAGTTGGCGGAACAGTTGGCGGCTGAAGCGTCGAAGGCGGCCACGGGTTGTTAGGAATATGTTAGAATGAAAATAGGACTATGCTTGGACATGTTAGGACTATGTTGCAATAGGGATCACAATCCATCTTTTATCTGCGATATCGGAGAGAGTTGTTTACAGAAACGTTCAGAGAGCTTTGGTCTCGTTTCACGTCCAGGCCTCTCCCTTGGTCCAATTGTAGACTCCCTTGTACATGCGCTCGAACTGATGATGGACCTTCATCCCACCCCAGAGTCCCTCCACGGGAATCTTCTCCGCGTCGAGCTTCTCGAGGTCTCCCTCGATCAAGGGCTCCATTCGATAAGCCACCGGGTCCATAGGATGGAAAATGTTGAAGAACCGCGTGTTTCCCGGTAGAGCAAAGGAGCTGCTGGGCACGTCGTCGCTGGTGTGGACGAAGAGCCCGGTGGGGGAGCCCATGGTGAAAAGAGCCAAAGGAGTGAAGCTCAGCTTGGGGGTTCCAGAGCGAAGCAAATGGAAGAGAATTGCGCCACCCAAAGAATGTCCTCTCAGGTAATCTACTGAAAGCATCTGAAAGCAATGACAAATCCATGATGACGACCAATGTCTTGGTGTTGATGGCCAATATTCATCAATGTGTTTTTTCGCGCATGGGTTGCATTTACATGCCCTTTCATCTTCCCTCAGACCCTTGGTTGGATTCGCTTAAGGAAGTTTGACATGAAAACACTCCAAGCTCTATTGTATCTCTCCAAAATTGGTTGTGTGTCATATCCCCTCAGTTTCTCACCCTCTCCAGCCAAGACAACTGGACCCTGGTAGCTTGGGTGATGCTCCAAAAACCGCTGGAAGGCATTCTCCACGGCCTTGCATACCGCCTCCAGAATCTTCTCCTGTGACCAAAAGAGTCCACCGAGTCAAAGAGGGGACGATTGGACCTCTACTATCAATTGTATCACCAACGATGTTTGTTTCTTTTGCAGAAAGGGTTTTGTATCATGAATAGTTTTCCAATTGTATATCAATAGCTGTTTGATCTGTGAGCTCATTTCCTGCAAGGTGAAGTCATTGATCGTTGTGCCGGATCTTTGTCCCGATTACTTCACATACGTTCCATCTGTCTCATTACCCAACGATCGTCGACCACGGTGCACGATGTGCAAAAAATAAACTTCACGACGGCATTTTCCAAACTTTGGTCGCAAGACTTCCGGGCAGTGTGTCCATGATAATATGCTCCCTGCATTTTGGGGACCCGTTGTAGAGACCGACAGGTTGTGCTTTATGCTGCACCATCTTGGAAAATAACAGGCTTTGTTGAATACAACCAACGGTACGGCATGCCAAGGCTGACGCCAGGAACCCAAAAAGCACCAAAAGGCCGTCCAAACGTGGTGTCCCAGTCTCCTGGTGCTTGGGATGCATGTAGTAAATGCCGTCGACGACGGTAAAGTTCGCAATTTGTCGCACCTGTGTCGCTCTGAAAAAAGAGAGCTCAAAGTCCACATGGAAGAACCTGGTCCACTGCCAGATCTACTCTGCTTGGTACATACGTGCTGGAAACGGAACATCTCCCCCTTTAAAAAAAAGGTCTGCACACTGTTAGGATGGCATGCTTCTCCCTGTTGGCTGTGTTCCCCTTTGGATCATGCGTTCATGTCTTTTCGCCTGGATTCACATCCCCCCACAAACCTGGGCTTGCTCGCTTCCTGCCTCAAACGGTCCGTTCTTGGGTCCGGTGTTCCGCCGTGGGTCAGGCAGGCTTCTAATCGCCGGCTCGCCTGCTTCATGGTGGGCAGGCTGATCCGTTGGAGTCGTGCATCCATCTCATCCGTGTGGATGGTCTCCCACCAGGAGGCTTCTAAGACCTCGTCCTTCTTCAAGCTGGGAGTCCCTTCACCTGAACAAGCGACTCGGCGACTCGGCGGCGACGGTGAAGGACCCCTGGGATTCCGACCATCACTGGGAGAGCCGGGGAAAAGAGCATCTCAGGGTCATTGCTGGACCTTCTTCAATCCAGCTTCATGGGTTGGAGCTTCCATTCACGAATTGATCTGTTGCAAGTCTTGAGGAATGGCTTCAGCCTTCAGAAAGCTTGGTTCACCCATGCAATCAGCCCACAGATGTCCACCACAACGGACCAAGAAAAGACTCCCCTGAGTTGAAAATCTATCACCCTTTCAAAGGAGATGCACTCGGCCATGCAGCAATGCAAGCCCTGACCCAATCGGAAGAAGTGACCTATCTGTGCCTTTCAAAGGATTTTCAAAGGCATTCAGCGTTGGTGCATCGCTACTAGTAACAAGGGCATCGCTACTAGGGGCTCAGGAACAGATGAGGAGGAACTCCTAGTAGTTTCTTGTTACTAGTAGAAAGGCACTTGTTACTAGAAGCGATGCCAGGAGCCCCTAGTAGCGTCCTTGTTACTACTAGTAAGGCACTTGTTACTATAATCATTGGCTCACTGTGTCCATCAGTTACTTTGCCCTTCTTGCTCGTAAGGAAGACCAGAAACCGCCAGAAACCGCGGATAGACCCAGCAGCCAAGCAGCCTGGGTAGACCCAGCTGCCGTCCGTCCTCTTTTCGTATCCGGCGCTCTTCAGCTGCTTCGCGTGGACGAGCTGCCGGAAAATTCCGGAGGAGAAGGCCAAGCCACAACCTAGGAGATCAAATATTGGATTGTGAGTCAGAAGCCACCTAAGTCAGCCAAAGTCGGGCTGAGGAATCCGCAAACCCTTACATCATATTCATTCAATATATAACTTATATACCTGAGCAAAGAATCGTTTGGAAAAAGAGGCCCGACGAACGACGGTTCCGATTGTGATGACGAATCTCTGGCTGTGCTAGTATCCCTCACACTGTGCACAGGATCCACTCCCTCCCCCAATCTCCCACCGGCTTTTGGTCAGACTGCTACCAAGTCTGGAAATCCCTCGATGAACCATTACTTGGGATGGATAATAGCTTGAGGAGGTTCTTCGCGCTTCATCACCACACCCCAGGTGGGTGGGCGGGTGCAAACCAATTTCTGTGTCCTGATCAAAAAAACATTAAAAAAGAAAGTGTCACACAAGGCTGGACAACCTGTGCACACAAACATCAACAGCGCTTCACTTCTTTGGGTGTGGAGCGATTTCCTTATGCAGATGCAACGGTCCCGTATGTCCTCCAGTTCCAAACGAATAAGAATAATAAAGATATGATGATATGATATATATGAATATAAAATATACAGTATATGATTATATATGAGCACACAAACGGCCCATCCCTTAAGACTTGCCAAAAGCTGGAGTGAGCTTAGCGGCCTTCCTCGCTCCACATCTTCTCCCCAATGCCATGTACCAAAATGATGACCTGTCCAATGTCGTTCCCTAGGATCTCCTCCTCTGCTTCACCCGCTTGTATCTGAACCTCTCCAAATCCTCTTTGCAGTTGGAAGACTCTCTCAAGTGCCGCTTGGGCATAAGCCACCCAAGAGGTTCCGGAGGTCGCGCGTTCCTCCGCCGAAACACGCCACTTGGAGGACTTGTACTTCATCTTGAGAGCAACTGTCCGACCGGATTCCAGAGGCACCTTCTTCAGAATCTCTGCTCCCTCAACTGGCGCGCTGCCTGTGGGTGCTATGATTTCCTGGTAGGTCTGTTCGATTGAATGATCCACTTGCTCATCATAGGGCACGAAACTCACCGTGTTGGGACGCAGAAACCAACGAGCACGCCGCACAGCACAGCGCTTGAGAGGTGGATCACTTCCGTAGCTGTCGACGAGGAGACGTTCCTTCAAGTTCACCTTCCACCTTCCACCCTCCACGTGAACGAACTCGGTATTCTTCAGAAACTCGGCTGCCTCAAGGCGTTTCTGATCACATCGGCGAAAGGGGCGCCACTCCGGTTGCTCAGAGCTTTTGTCTTCCCAAAGCCAGGTAAATGGAGGGTTTGTTTCCTGCAACCATTCAGAAGGAGTTTGTACCAATGGCAAGGATTCGGTCTCAGCCAAAGCGTCTTCTGTCTTCGACATGATCCGCTCGTCCCATGATAAACCCTATGAGTCCTATAGGACAGCTAGAGCAAAAAGGATGCAAACAATTGAAAAAACTTGTGGTACAGGGTTCTTCTGATCTCACATTAAAGACTTATCCTTTGGTCTGAGGGACACTCATGCTTTTTGGCTTGTGAACATGCATTTCTGCTCAAGACGTGGCTGGCTGACACATCGCAGTCGTCGCTCTCCGGTCATCTCCGGTCCCACTGCAGCTTCCGTCCACTGCGACCTCGGGGGTCATCTCGAGAACACTCCCCCCGAACAACCTCAGCCCGGAAGAGGGAAAGGGGAAAAAGATTCGATCACGCCAGCATAGACCCCAAATAAGAAAACATATTCGAAGCAAGAACCCCACTAGCTCTCGCTATCTGGACCAAAAGGAATGAAAAAGGCTTTGACATGCTTTGACCATTTGATCGTTTTGCTCCACCGTTTACAACCGGTTTCGGTGTTTCGGTGCTCCACCTCATCCGCATCCCCTGCAGCCGCCCATCGCGACGGTTCGCTGCGAAGACCCGAAACGTCGCGCAAGCGACGTCTGCTTCACAGGTCGACGTTGATGAGTCTTATTGGTTGCTCTGGGATCTTCGAAGTACAAATCCGTGTGGCGGTTTGCTCTGATACAATCCGAAACTATGTGAACACAAATTCCACAGTACTGCATCAACTTCTGATGCTTTCTATCATTTGATCTGTTGGGAGATCACGGTGTCCCTCAAGATTGTCCTCCTTCAAGGCTGCGGGCGACGTGCAGGTGATTGCTCGAACCATCTCAAGGCAGCCAGTCCGATATAAATTATCCCCAACTATGCTGATGTCACTTGAGCGATCTAAACCTCTTACATATGGTAAAGGACATTGCAAGGGGGAGTATGGAGAGTATCGTTTTTTGTCGCCGACCCTATCGTTTTTGACGGTTTTTGATAGGTGCTCACTTGATGAACTTGATGGCAGTTTTCCAATGCTAAGGCCTTTGTCAAAACGGGAGAGTTTGCGTTTGTGCTGCTTTTCCAAGTGCATCGAGCAGTTGCAACCTCTCTCGGTCAATCGTGCGAAACAAGAACTGATTTCAGCATGTGCCCCTTCCTTCTCCAGATTTGGTGTCAATTGTACAAACTACTCACACAATACACTCACTTGTGTCACTAGGGCGCATGGCTTAGTCAAATGTAACACAATGATCACCTCACCCTTTTGAATGGATGCCATTTATTCCATCAAGCAGTCACTCCTTTCTCAAACAAATGATCAGTCTGACCACCAAAAAAACGACAACAAAAACGTGAATGTGCTGTGCTTGAAATCTCCGGAAGATTTAGGACTCCTTGTAACATTGTTACTCCTTTCTCATGCTGGAGCGGACCAGCTTCGCTTCCAAAAAAAATCACCCGCTTTGGTTGCTGCGACTCCGGTGTCGCTCACTGCGGTCGCTCGTGGAAGAAGACATAAGGGCCTCCGGGACCACCGGTCGGGTGCTGAACATGGAAACACAGAAGTCAAGTGCTTAAACCTGCTGTTGCAGCTGAGAGTCAACTCTCTGAAAAGGACCAATTTGACTCTCTGACTCGTCAAAACCCCCCGAGGACGTGCTAGCAAGAACTCACCAATGCGATGCTGACCCAGTACCTCTTGTTGACCTCTCATGTACCCGTCAACCGCATCACCCGTCTCACAACTCGACGTCGTCTCATACCTCGCCGCTCTCGTGGACAACCCCTAAACCCTAAACCCTCCACCGCGCCTAACAAGTCCTGCATGACGCCAGCACAGGTGGTCCACCAGGCCAGCCAAAGGAACCAGGCCTTCGGCGAGTTCCAGCCCCTCAGCTCGACTCCGGTGCGGCGGGCGGAAACGGGCGGAACGACGGACGCGGCGGAACGACGGGACGAAAGCTGTGAGGTCTTTCAGGGGAGGAGAAGCATCAGTGGATAGAAGTTCCTTTGCAAAGTCAAGCCAAAGTCGATGCCACTTGCACAATTCATAGCCCAAGCTTGGAGGGGATAGAAACCAGCTGATATCTGGAATCCTTCACTGATCCGGTGCCAAGATTCTCCAATCATCTCCATTCCCTTAGGGTCTGGACTCGCCCCTGGACCAAAGAACCTCTGCCCTCCGTCGCCGGCCCTCGTCGGCTGCTGGGTTCCCCGGGCGGCACCTTGTACCAAATGCGGGAGCCCTGCCGCGGGAGGCTGGTCGCTGGAGGCGACAACTTCAACGCCAACGCTTGGGTGGACGGCGCCACCTGAGCGGAGGCGGTGAAACGGAGGGGCTTCGGAGTGCCCCCGGGGCGGTGAGAAGAGGAGGCATCTTTCCGTGAGCTGCACAAAAAGTGGTCCAGGTGATCCAGAAAAGAAAGTGACCTGAGCTTTCTGGTGAGGCTGGGCCATGTTTATCATTTTGGGTCATTTCGAGCTCTTTGTGCAGAACCTCTCATCACTTCGAAATCCCCTGATCCTGGCAGCGGAAAACTTCTGGGCTTCCCCGGCCGAGCTGGAGGCGAAGCAGCGCGAAGTGGTCGGGGCCTTCAGCAAGTTCTGCACTTCAAAGCCTTGGAGAACGCACCGCGTTCAACGCCCAACCGAGGGCATTTAGGTCATTAATCATGAAAGGCTGGGAAGAAACAGGGAGATTGGAGAGTTTGCCAATGTTCCCAGAAACCAAGATAAGATGTTGATGAAAAAGAAGTCGAACAGGGAGCCTCCATGTCATCAAAGTTGAGGCTTTCCATGAGATTTTTGCTCCTGGGATCTCTGAGTCATGTTCATGAAAGGCGCCACATTGTCCTCCTCCATCTTTGCTCAAGGGCATGTGCTTGACAAAGACAATCTGTATCTGGTTACCCGGTCTAAAGCTATCTGCAGCTTAGCCACGTGCACCAGCCTGCATCGCCTGGACCAGGCGATGGTGTTCGATGGCTCCAAGGAAGTGTGCCGCTTCAAAACGCTACTCACTAGCTGTTTTGCCCTTCAAAAGAAAGAATGTGAAAGAATTGCGACCGACCCCCAGTGAGAACCCTTTCAAGGAACCCTGCCTTGGGCATCATCCTACAGGCCAGCACTCGGTTCAGCAGCATCGCAGCGTTTCGTCCTTCGCCGCTTTTCGGCTCTGTCAGGTGTCAGGGAATAAGTGGTGAAGAGCAGTGGCAAACAAACAGCAAACCAACACATGCCCACATCTCACATGCCCACAATGTGACTGCTGCTGCGTTTGCTGTTCACCTCATTTCACCTCCCATTTGAGCACCAAGTGTTTGATCACACCAAAGCTCGGGCCAAACATCTGGATCATGAGAGCCATGAGCTCCATACACGAAGAACCCCAGAGCGTGAAGCGAAGCGAAGCAAACTCGCAGCTGCAATAGGCATGGAAAAATATGAGGCGTAAAGCATGATACAATTAGGTTGGGGCCGTCACAAGAAGCCCTCTCTCCTGAGGCAACAGTACCAGTCAGTACCACAGCTCGTACCACGGAGCCCTCTTCTCTGAGCCGACAAAAGCGACAGAAAGCGCAGTAAACTTCGATCTGTCGCATCACAACATGCGAAAAGGAAGCTACTAGTAGCTAGAAGCTACTAGGTGAAGGCCATCGCTATTAGGGTGGAGGCCATTCCTATTAGGTTCCTTTTGCTACTAGTAACAAGAAGCTTACTTCAATCATCAGTACAGGTCTTTGCCATGTGTTCTGCGTGTGTTAGACCTCCTGCCGCTGGAGAAGCAGCTTCTTCTTGGTGGCTCTTCCAACTTCAGAAGTGGCGTCATGCTCCGTGACCGAAAAACCTTCGTTACAAAGCTTGCTCCGCTATGCTCGAGTTCAAGACCCCTTCAGAACCACCAAGAAAGAAGCACAACAAAGATTTGGCCGGTAAATTGCCGCAGGGAAACCAATGTCCTGCAGCAGCGTCTCCAAAATACGTCTTTGTTTTTTCCGCAAAACCGTGCCACTGTCCAAGCCTCAGGTTTTGACCGCAGAAAGCGAACAGCTGAATCCAGAGAGAAGCTGGGGCAGTTGAAGCCTGAGGATGTTGATCTTCATCTCACTCTGTGATGCTGTCTCTCTGCTTGTGACCCGCTGGCAGACCTGGTTCACATGGGTAAGCCAGGTTACCCCATGAGACTGCGAGTGCTTTTGACTGCAGCTCTCAACCCCACAGAACAGCTGCCCCGAATCGTTCGAAATGGCGTTGTCTTGAATTAAAACAAAAATGCAAAACTGAACATTGAGCTATGTAAAAGTATCATCCAACCCCGTTCTTTTTTGCCCCAGAGCAAGGTGACCAACTTCTTTCATCTTGCTCGCATGCATCGGACGTCACACGCCTTTGGGGGTTGAACGGACCGATCTCAAAGGCAAAGGACTGAAGGAGATTCGGGAGATTCGGGGCACTGTATTGACATGTAAAAAACATCGACCACACCGCTTGGCGCGCAAAGGTTTCGAGATGCTGTACCTTTTCGCTTCTATGCGGCATGAATTCACAAAGCTCCTATGTACAAAGTGTGGGATTCAAAATGCACTCCCGGCTTCTAGCTTGTTCTGTCCTCTTGAACTGGGACCAGTGGCTAGGTAGAGCACGACTAGGCCACCAAGTGTCGAGCCTGAGCCTGAACTGTCTCAAAGGTTGTCTTGTTGTCATCCTGTCACCGATAAATTGGCAATGAGCTGAACTGTTGGCGGTTCTTTACGCAACTAGCCTTGCCCTCCCACGTGCAACCAAGAATTTGTCCACCTTGCTCAAGGACATGTCCTACAGCCATTCCTACAGCGCCACAGCATGTTGCGCTTGCCACAGCGGCTCCCACTGTGCGCCACAGCGTCCTTCGGAGTTTGTTCGGAGTCTCTCAACTCCGCTCCACACCGCAGTCACGGACACTGTTCAGAGCCCCGCAGTCAACAAAAATGCCACTTGACCGTACTGCACATGAAAAGGTATATAAATAACCAAGTAATGAAAGAACCAAAGGAACCTGGCATGCAACATGCGCTCCTCAACTGGTATCTCAGTACTGCGGGGGCACGACCTTTCACGCGCCACCCAAGCGTGAAAGAAAACATCCCGCTGTTCCTGTCAGGTTCCAGGCAAACAATCAGCGGGAAGGCTTGGATTGGGCAGATTCGCTGGCATCCTTTTTCAGATTTTTCCGCTGGATGTAGCAGCGCCCAAGATGACTGGCACCATCTAGCTGTCATTGTCCACAAACCGTTTGCTGATATCTTGGGTGATGATCAACCACCATTCGAACAAATGTACAATGCTAATCATACATACGCAAGTTATCGCCTGCGTAATGAAACCTGTTACTGTGTAAAATGATGTAAGCTGTATATAAGTCTACACCTCTCACATTCCTGCTCGGTGCAGTCACAATGACTCTGACTGTCACAAGACCGCTGAATTCCGCTGCAGAAGCTTTCGCTCGTCACCCAATCCGTGTCGCACCTTGGAAAAGTGGAGAAGGCTGTAGGAAGCTGCAAGCTGAATCTAGAAACATCCTGTGAATCGAGCTCCATCTTGTATATAAACAACAAATGTTAGGCTGCAACAACCTTGAGTTATCAAATGGGCGTTTGACGAAGTGTCCTACCAACGGCGTAAAAAAAACCGGAGAGAAGAACGATGATTTCCGAAAGTCTCATTCTCACGATTCTCAGACAAGAATGCACATCCCCACTTGAGAAAAATAGAGACCGAAGTCCCAAGACGTTAGGTTGCCCATCCGACAGTAGGGCTCATGACTCGGCGATAGTCGATCTTTCTGCAGACAACCTTCTATCGGCTGTATATCAAAACATAAATTCATGGAATTCAAATAGGTGCAATTCGCATGAAAACCTGCATCACCATCACTATCGTCTCCGGGCACCATGCTACATTGGAATCACACGTGCCGGAAGCCTTTCACTTGAGGGTGTGAGCGAATCAACGCTTGACGCTTCACTCTTCTATCCCTGCGCAGCCGTCTTGCATCGTTAACATCAGTTTTGTCATGGGCCCTTGCCCTCGACGAAAGGACACAAATGGACACAAATGGATCGGAGCAATTCCTCAATGCATTGAAGCCTATCCAATATTCGTAGCAAAACGCTATCAAGGGGCTTCTCCTGGCAAAACTGGGTTGCAGGCGGCTAAGGGTCTGGGCCGTTCCATGCAACCTAGTCTGCAGCATTGATAAGAAAAGATAAAAACACACATGTCGAATTGACAGGAAAAAAGGAAAAGGAGGTGCTCTGGCCCCTTAGATAAGGCCTAAAGGGCCTTGTTAAAGGCGCCCAAACACCCTGTTTCTCCTTTTCTCTTGCATTTTCTCATAGTCATCACAAATCAGGCCTTCTACTTATGCATGCATTGCCTCCTACTTCGCATTCTGCCCGTGTGTAGCTGATGCGGTCGGTCGGCGGTCGGTCGTTCCTTGGGCCGCCACTGTGACCACATCATCGCAGGTGTACAGTGTGACAGCTGGAACCTGTGCCGAGATCACCACTATGTAAACCATTTACATGTTGGAAGATGTACAAAAAAGGCTTGGAAGATGTTGGAAGATCTTGGGTGCAGAGTGGAGGGCGGTTCAAGAACCGTCAGAAAGTGTGTTCAATGCTTGAGAGTTCTTGTCCCTGTGCTTTGTCCTTGGGTGCGCGGTTGAGACATGAATCCGCCCGTGTTGGAATGCAAACTGATCCAAGCAAGCTTGGCCGCCCAAGAAGCGTTGAAGACGAGAATGAACAACTGCCCTGTAACCTGGACCTAGACCTACTCTATGACTCTGTTGGATGAGTAGGCCACATTTAATAAACCTTTTGACGGACATGCCACAACTTTGATCCTCCGTTCGACTCCGTTGTCGAAGCACTGCCCGAAGCACTGCCGCATGACTGTATAATTCCTTTGTAATCACCATAAGTACGTCCGGCGATCACGCCCGTGCGTTTGCACGACATGCTTTCCTGCCAAAACCGCCAACCGGATCAGCCAGGTGATCGCCGATCAGCCACCGGATCACCAGTGAAAAGCTCCACCGAGAGCGATCTCCCATCTGAGGCGTTACACCCAGAGCGATCTCATCTTCTTGTCCTGGCATCGCGGTTCCCACCTCAGCCAAAGCGCGGGTCTTCTCAGGCGGAGAAAGACATGTTTCAAACCAAGCAATTCTAACATCTATGAGATATAGATGTAGTTTTCAAAAAAAAGGGAAACAAACAATGACATCAAGTTTCTTTATGGTGTTTTAACGGTTGATGCATAGTGATGTCAACAAATCAATCGCTTCTTCCGATGAGGTCTTGGCCACTGGGCCAAGGGCTCGAACCAAAGATCTGACTCCTGGACGGGCCCAACACCGCTGCTGTTTGTTTATCTTCCTTTTTTGCCCAGTAGGAGGCGGGCTACGCCAGTAAGAGGAGGCAAACAAGTTTGGTTGATCAGGAGTTAGGAGTAGTTGCGAGAACAAGTAGCTACTAAGCCCTTCGGGCGCAAGTGGGGCTCCGGCTTTATGATTTGGTTCCTAGATTGTTGGGAAACTTATATAACTACTAGCGATGGCCTGACACAACCTACATTGTTTGGGAAGCTTACGTGAATTTGAGGAACCTGTGCACGTCGCTCCGTAATGGTTTGCTCGCCGCCATATTCGAAGTTCAGGGGGGAAGGCAGGAACCACACTTTCACCTGGCGGCGTCGCCAAGCGTGAGCACTTCGAAAACCAGCTGTGATGTTCAAGCTGTCGGTGTCAGTTCCTTCAGGGCCTGCGCAATCTCCCCATGGCGGTTCAAGTGGTAGTCACAGCGGAATCGAAGCCTGCCACGGCACCAGAAATTCTAGCCTACGCGAACACAGTACATGTGGGGGGAGGCAATGCACATGACCATCCACAAGACTGCCAAGCCCAGTGTCGTTGATTCCAGCCACAGAAACTTGAAGCCTGAGTGGACAGAGAGCAAGTCAAGACCAACAACCCAAACAGCAGGACAAATTCAATGACTCTGACGCCGTCTTGACCAGACCCATTTGGGTCTCGGAAACGTGCATGCACGCCTTACATTGTAACAAATGGAGTTTGTGGTTCAACCTGCAAGCCAACCACATCTTTTTTTGAAAGGGCGATGTTCTGATCTTTCAACTTCCGGGACGTGCCGCAGTCCGGTTTGCTCACGCTCCGGTGCGCCTTTTGCGCACCGTACTGAGCCCTTTAGGACTTGTCCCACCCGCCGGTTCTTTCATGTTCATTCATGTTCCGTATAGGGATGTCTTGCGTCTTGCATGGGTGGGTGTGTGTGTGTGAAACTGGACAAAAGAGAGGTGTTGTGTGTGTGTGTGTGTGTCCGGTCGGACACCACGATCGACTTCCTTTTACATTGTAGCCTCCAATACAACACAATCTGAGGTTTAAAACATGTGTCACTGGAGAAGGCCTTAAGCCTTAAGCAAACAACTTTGAAAGTCAACCAAATACTGCTGGAAGACAGCGCTCTGCCGTCAGTGCCCAGCACACAGGATTCTTTTTCATGCTCATAAAGGACACCTGGGGCATTCTTAAACAGGGCAGAGCGGCAGTGAGCCTTCCATGATGTTGTCCTCACAAGCAACACAAAGCGGACAAAGAGCAGTAGTAGGTGAAGAGATGGTCAGGCACTCCTGAAACAACGGGAACTTGGCGGCGTTGCCGAACCACTGCACACCCTTCCTGGCAACACCATTTGAGAGAAAGAGCAGGAAGACCCAATTGAAATGCATGCTTGAGACTCACCAAGCATTGCATGGACTGCATCTGCGCCTGCAGCCTAGCATCATTTGTCTGGGATTTTCATGCACCTCGGAGTCCAAAGATAAGAAAGGCATCTGGAGCTTCTCACCAAAGGTTCAGAGCAACTGCTGAGGGTGCGGCATGCTGCTCTGGAAGCCATCCCCCTGGAACATTGTCCTCACCCCATAACATAAACTGGCGTACCAGCTGCATTCTTGGAACTGATGCATTCTTCCATGTGCACCCCCAGTGGCCTACTCAATAGCTGCAGAAATCCGATGACACAAATCCCAAGGAAGAAACATGGCATGGACGGGTGTCGATGCTCGTCCTCCGCTTCAGATTTCACCTGCGAGGACCATTCTGGTCAACGGTGCCGAGTCCCGATCGCCAAAAAATGGAACCACAACTGGATGAACCCAAAAAGACACATGGTCCCTTGTTGCAACTTGCTGTTCTAGAAACTAAGATTGTCTTTTAATATCTTTTAATTTCAACTGCTTTCCCACATGAGAAGAAGAAAAACACTTCTCAGGTCGTCCTGCAAAATCTCAGCCAGGCTCTGCTTGGGCGACGTGGCCTCCCAAAAAGCAGAAGCTGGTGGGTTGACTCCCTTGGTCCCTGGGATGCCACCGAGGTATCATGAATGAGTGGTAGATATAGACCTCCAAATAGATAGAAAAGTAGATCCCCACTAAAAATGTATTGGAAACCGTTTCTATCCTATTTGGGGAGCACCATACAGGTTCTGGGTGTCATTGGGTAGTTAGTGTCTTCAGTCATTGGCCGAATCTCTGGGGGCGCTGCGTGCGCGGTGCTGGCCTCTGCAGAATCCTGGAGCGGCTGAACATGTTCGCGCAACACATGAGGTGATCAGTTTGAAGAATACCAACGAAGACGCACTGAAGATGTCTTGAAGGCATTGTATTTCCCATCGCTGAATGATGTGTCTCCAAAAACAGCTACGAGGCTTCTTCGTCCCACGGCCTCCAAAAAGCCTTTCGAGTCCGACGACCCGCAGGTCCCCGGTCTTCGGTCCGTTCACGCGACCCGCCTTCCGTGCAGCGACCCACTCCACCAGCCCCACGTTGACGAAGCCTCGGTGACCCGCGTGGGTGGACGGTGGCCACAGATCGACCGAAGCCGCTTGCTACGACTCCCACAGAGGCACGACGAAACCAATCCCCGAGTGGAACGAGACCAATCGCACCATCGCCAGAAACCATGCAAAGTAGCACAAACCAGGAACACCTGCACCATGCCACCCCCAAAAAAAAAGGCCGAACCATGAGGGTCCATCCCTTTGTTACCGGCTCCCAGCGTGTTCCCGTCCGTTGATGTCACCTTCTCCAAAAACGCCCGCCCAGGCGCAGTTCGCTGACTTCTCCACTGCCAGGGCAAAGGTGAAGCTGCCAGGCGCAGTTCGCGGTGAAGCAGCGCTTTTGGTCCGTGCGTGGTTCTAGGGATCCAATCCAGGCAGTAGAGCAACAGCAAGCCACTCACGGACGGGTATGGTCTGGTAGGGCTACGCGTACACCATGAGTTTGGGGAAGGCTGCCAGGCTATCGTGATGAAGGCCCAAACTGTAAGGCTTTAAGGGAAAGAGAAGAGAACAATGGGGGGCCGTTTTGAAAACTGGACGCAACTACCCGGTAGCGCCGGGAACTGGGTGAGAAAGGCATCTCGGCCACTGCCTAAAGGTGGCTTTGGAGAATATGTTTGCACACTGCCTACAGGGAGTGTGTCCAATGCTCCATGGTGGCACACAAGGCCTCCAAGTCTGGCCCACGGGAGGTTTCCAGCGGCCGGCATGCCATGCCTTCCAGCGGCCAGCATGTATGGCTTCAAGCATCATGGACCCGTTGGCATCCACAGATGTTGGAGAGGATATTTTTATGTTTAGAGAGAGAATCCCGCCCGTTCGCATTTGGGCAAATCGGACCCAGCCCCTTTGGCTCTTGGTGTCTCACAGGGGTTGCATTTTTATACCTCAAGTGTTGCATATCACCCTGAGAGCGAAAGAATTCTGCACTTCCCTACCGAACTCTGTCCCGAGCAACCTCGGCTGGCTGACACTGGATGATGCTGGGCTCCAACCTGGCGGCATTCCCCAACCAAAACGAGCGTCTGCAGGCGCACGAGGCCTGCCAACGAGCTACTGCGACTGCCGGCCTTTCCACAATCTTTCCATGGTCTTTGCATCAATTTGGGCTACACGATGGACTGCCATGCTGTGCCAGAGCTTTGCACGTGCCTGATGGTGCGATAATCCTCGGGGCCTTTCATCGTCAATCGGCAGAACCTGGAGGAATTGGAGCACTTGGGTAGGCTTTTAAGTATACCTTGTTCCCCAGAAGGAATCAGCCTAAATGATCTGTCTGGCAACCACTCCAGTCTCGGCAGCTAAGATGTCCACTTCGTAAAATCTTGTCCAAGTCCGTGATGAATTGACTCGGCCTGCCGGTCTTTAGCATATCGGGCCTTCGATCGAGGGATCGGCCAAAGAAACTTGTATAGAGTTTAAAAAAATTGCAAGTCGCAAGCACCAAATGAAGAAACAGAAAGGGCTCTCCATATGTGAAATTGTACTCCCAACATCCGCTGTCTGAAGCTTGGTGAAATATCATTATCTAACCTTGTAAGTAAACCTTGATTCGACCTTAAAAGCACGCATGAGAGGAGCAATGCAAGGCAGCATTGTTGTTTTCAGCGCTTCGAGCATTCTTGGCAATCTGGCTTGGCTTTGATGGAGTCAGATTCCAAAACGCACAGACTGCACTCGCAGAATTCACGATACAGCCCATATGTTTTGCGCCAAAAGGGATTCTGAGCACACCATGCCAAAGCTTGGTAGAGCCATCTTTACAAGAAAAACGAAGGCAACACTTGTCTAATCAACCAGCTACCAACTGTCGGACCATCGCTTCAAAGCGTCCGCTATGGCATTTGTGCTCCTCATCCATGTCCGCCAAGGCTCCTCTAAGCCTTCATCTTCCGCCCTCGCCGTGGCAAGGGAGCCGAAGGACTCTCCTTTCAGGAGGGTCCTGCCGCCCTGCTCCGCTTGCAATCAAGCAAAGTATGTGACCACTCGAGAATAAGTACAGTTTCCATGTGGTGAATGGGAGCAAAGTGTGGCCAAGCGCCCGACCTCTGCCTTTGCGGCTCAGGTTGAGAGATGTCTGCAAAGCTTGGCACTGAGACCAGGCCCATCCTGCCGACGTGGCGGGTGGGTGGTTTTTCACGAATCAAGAGGATAAAAAAGATCCTGGGTTGGTCTTCTAATTCGCGTCACATGAAGGGAGGTCCAACCATTGACAGCACGCAAATTCCTAAACTGAAAGGAGGGACATACAGAAACTCCTCTGGAAACCCCTAGACCCACACATCTGCAACATATGGATTTGTCTCAAGACTCAAGACAGATCTGAGCGGGAGAGTTGAACTAAATGCCACGAATAAAGATGGTCCCCACGTATGGTCGACGCGCTCCTGGAAGATCAATCGCCATGCAACTTGCAGACCTGGTCGATGGCTTCCTGCGCCAGAGGCGGCCGCCGCGTTGGCTCGCTGGCGCAAGAAGATCGGGAGATCTGGAGATCTTCCGGTGAGCTTCAAACCCCCCACAGCGGTATAGACCTCCACAAAAAGCCATAGACTCTCACCTTGAACCTACCGTGACCCACCCCTCAAGACCCCTGCCACACCTCGCAAAGTGAGTGACTCAGGTCCGTTGTCAATCCACCCGTCGGGCTCAACCGGGCCCCTGGCCCGGCAGATGGGACAGGAATCTCCCGCGCGCTGCAAGCGCTTGGCACAGGTGAAGCAAGTGCTCTGGTGGCACCTCGCAGCGATGAAATCAAATCTGATTCTTACACTCAGGGCCTCTGGCCTCTAGATCTGTCGGACCCTCTTACATCATGATAAAGCGTGAACATCTACTTTTCCCGTGCGAGGCACACCTTGTGATCCTTGTGACACAACATGAGCTCAACTGCAAAGTAAAGGTGTCAGAGTGTTGGCATCCACTGGGACGGACCTGGGGATTGAAATCAGACTCCAAGTCCCTTGCGTCTCTCCGTGCACAATCACGCCGTTTGGCCTCGGCATCCCAGAGGCCCTTCAAGTGGAAAGCTCCAATAACTCGACAATGCAGGTGTCGAATGGACAGACTGGGCCCGAGTGACGTCGGATGATATCTGCAAATTCCTTGAGTCACTTAAGTTCCTGTTTCGGGGTACAAACCCTTGAGCTAACCAATGGACCTTCATGTGTGTGTGTGTGCATCTTGACATGGACAGGCGGGCTGAGAGGGCTGAGAGGGCTGAGAGCTGCACTTAGCATCCATGCAAATGACGCCTTGGAGAAACCCGAAGCTGCTTCTTTTGACATCAAGCCATCAGTGAGTCGCTGCGCAGTCATGGTATTCTGTTCTCATGCATTCTCTCTAAAATCTCTCAAAACCCACCTTGGCCAGTTCCCCAACACGCATTGTATACTAGTTCCAGCGGCACATGTTCCAGTGCGAAAGTGTGTTTTTTCGTGTGTGCGGAGGGAAATTCCAGCCTTCTGCACAGAAAGCTGGAGCAGAGTTGGGGGGAAAGGTCCAGAGTTGGATGCCCTTGATGCCTTGGTACTGCATGGTACTACTGCATCCATGCCACATTCCGTAAGCCCACTCGTTGCAGGCGTAGATCCTAGAGCAGGTGATGGGCTTGCAAGCAGCTCTGGACGCAAAGCACATTTGGACATGCACCAAAAAGAACTCATAGTATACTTATATATAATATATATATATATACTGTCTCCAAAAAGATTGGCCGATGAAAACTAACCTCGCAGGAAATAGCGGCAACTTCTGACAGATTGACTGGTTTGCTTTGAGAAAGTGAGCAGAACGCCATGAAAAAAAGTCTTGCAGAACCCAATTTGCGGACAGAAAATCACCACTGGAAGCACACCTATGCTTGGGTAGTGCGAACCGATACGGATCGGATGTGGGGGGAAATTTTTTTAAAAATATAAAAGCAAGAAAGTGACACCCCAAATGCTCTGAATCCTCTCTGATACACCGTGATACCCCCACATGTGATGGCTGACAGCAAATCTCGGGCTTGTTCCCAAAACACCTCCACCGCGTCTGGGATGACTTCAACATGAACCTTGAAGAGATCATCCTGCACACGGTTCGTGGACCCACCCTGCTCAGCCCAAAACGGGGGATGCTCCGCTGCTCCACCTCTTTCTCGCTTCGTCTCGGTTCTCGCCGCGCTCTGAGGCTCCGCTCGGGACAGGCGCTTGGACTCGAACGCCACGATTTCGGCCTCGACTGGTTGGGTCGATTGGGTCTCAAACTAGAGAGCACCACGTGGCACCACCGGTTGTTTTTTAAACAAGCATCTGTATCTCAACTCATTGGTTCGAGGTATTTTGCTAAGGGACCACCAACTGCAAATGTGGAAAGCTCAAATCTCAGCTCCGAATTGCCTTGTCCTTGGCAAACTCGTCCCTTTGCCCGGTCCAACGAGTGGCCACAGCCTGCCAGTTCGGGCTTTTCGGCTCAACATCTCAAACCGGCGCTTGCAACCGCTCCACCGCATACCACTGCTATGAAAAAGAGAAAAACACAGAACCCTGGAGCTTTCTCTTCGTGTGGGGAAGTCAGCTCCCGCCCAAAGGGGAACGGCTCCAGCGCCTGTATCCAGCCTTTGGGCACCACTTGAGTGATGTCATCTTGGAACGTCACTGAGACCTGTCCGGAGGGGGTCGGGGTCTACCGATGGATCCAGCAGGATGGCAAGAGAATACAGGTGGACTGGTAGGCCAAATATGTTTCAAGAGGACGTTGGTCTGAGCTGCCTGCTCTACCCCTTTTTCATGAAGTTCAGCATGAATTTGCTTGGTCCCTTTGGTGAGCTTTTGTAACTCCACAAAACTACGAGGCCTCTTCTCCAGCATGGAAAAAGAAACGAGATAATTTTCTGGTGTTTCTTGTATCCACGTGCCAACCCATCTTCAACCACTCGTGAGGTTCGATTCACCAAATAAGTACTTTGCTTGACCAATCAATGGAGGTCCACTCCGATCGTCTCAGCATCTGACCTCTCAATGGCTTACATACCTGTCGCCTTTCCCGGTCAAGCATGAACACGCAAAAGCAGTGCTCTGAGGATGGCCTCCAGTTCTTTTTCCAAACACGTAACGCCGTCTAATCCTACAAAGGGTGTCAAAGGGTGGCACGCAAAAAGAGAGATATATAAATCATCAAACATCTGCGATTCTGTCACCTAGGGGTTGACCGGTGTCTAGGAACAGCACTGAAACACGTCGCCGTCGTCGCCCTGGCCCCACCGCCGCGCCTCCCCACGAGGCAGGATCGAGACCACGATGCCACGGTCCGTCTGGACACTGCGGCAACTGGGCGACACGAGCGCGCCACACGAGCGCGACACGCCACAGAAGGCCCTGTGTCGCAGGTGAGATGAGTCCAATCTGCACTGTTGGCTGTGGATTGCTGGCTGTGCGAGGTTTGCGGAGGTCCACATGCATCCCACATGCCACAGTGTCCTGTGTTTCCAGCATTGAAAGAAAAACACGGGGGGCACAGCCACCCGCCGCATGCGTCCGTGGACGAAACCACGGCCCGCCAAGGCCGCCGCTGGTTCCCCGGCCGCTTAAAGTGGGCGATGACCACGTCGCCCGGCGCAAGCTCTGAAACCTGGCCAAAAAAAGATTGCCAGTCGAGCTCTTCCAGCGTTTTTCCCATGCCATTGGATAAAATTATCAAAAACGTGCTCAAACAATGAAAATAGTTTTGCTTGTTCGGCTACCAAGGGTTTGTTTGTTCTTGTTTTCTCTGCCTACCAGGGCGTGACCCTTTTCACCCTTGCGATAGGGGGGATAGCAGGGAGGGGTGAAAAAGGCATGCCTCATGTGGCCGCCTGGAAGATGAAAAAGATGTGCAAAGCTTGGGCATTTCAGGGGACCCCTCCCCACAGCGGTGGAAGGCCTCCGCATGCCAGTCCCGGATTCGCTCAGTGACCCAAGCCTGCGCGTGGGTGTTTTGGAGTTCACTGATGTGGGCTCAATGGATTCCCGTTCCTACGCCGTAACCTGAGATAGCACGCTAACCTAGTTTCAAAAGGTTTCAATCAGTTCCTGCGGCACGTGCGGCACGCTTCATGCGCAACGGAGGTTCTGGCAAGCGAGGAGTTCCGATATACCAGGAAGCTTGACGGGTGCCTAGGTGCAATGCCAAATACCTTGTCTTACTCTCCTACATTGATCGATTGGTGTTCCCTCCAATCCACAGCAGGAAGTTGAGCAGCTTTATGCAAAGCTGCAAAGCTTAAGGGGTCTGTGGCTTGGAACGGCGCTTTGGTTGGAACACCCAAAGCGCCTGTACAACATTCCGAAATTCAGCCCTTCAGCCCTCTCTGGATTCTTCCACTGCTTGGGGG